CTTCATCTTGTTAATGCCACCATCCAGAATACAAACTCGAGGATATCCCAGCTTCACAAGATGTGCTGCAAACTGTAAGAAAAACAACATGAAAATGCAATTATAATTGTGAAATTCACAACATGCATTACAAGGGGAATAATGAAATATATTTCAGGGTTTACATTCCACTGTTATAACACAATACAACATTTCAGCTCAGACCCCAAATGGGTTTATTTACTAAAGCTGGAGAGTCCAAAATCAGACTCCCTTCTGCATAGAAACCAATCAGCTTTCAGGTTTCATTGCCAAAGCTTCATTGAACAAGCTGAGGTTAGAAGCTGATTGGTTTCTATGCAGAAGGGAGTCGGATTTTGGACTCTCCAGCTTTAGTAAATAAACCCCCAAGTGGCTAGTTAATTAAGATTTGGTATTTGGTGCCAAGTACAAAGTCCAAATCATCTTGCTATGAAAGAAGATTTCCAGGCTAGCTTTGTTCAGTTGGAGAACTCTGTAGAATGTCAGTGGCAGCAAACTAACAGACTGTAGTAACAACCTGTTCAGCTGCCAATTAAGTTAATATAATCTCTATAAAGGAGAATTACAACAGGCAGCAGTTAAATTAACTGCACAAATAATTTAATAATGAAATGGTAAATTCAGATTTTTCTGTCCTTGTGATATCAGTCACACAGACTGCAATAAAAGATTCTAACTCTCCATGATTTTCAAAATGAAACAAAATAAATGGAGTTTACTTTTAGTAGGCTGAAACAATGACAATGCAATCAACTGTTGTCAGTTAAAAAGTGACTGATGCAGCAACAGTAGTGTACTGAAAAAGTCAGTTTTGTAATGCTACAATGTTTTAAATAGTAAAGTTAAAAAGTAGAAAAGGAAAGTGAATGGATGATGGAGAAACATACTATATTAGCTAGTTCATACAATTCTAAAAGAACATACTGCACATAGTATAGGCATGAAGCATTAAAGTATAATATGAAAGCAGTCACTAAACAGGTCAAAAGTATGCAAGGGAATGTAGAGGCAAGTAACTACTTCATAAGTGCCGATATAGAAACTGGCTACAGTTTAGCTCATAAATATATACAGAAGGTGCAAACAATTTTGCTAGTAGAACAGTGACACAGGATCTAAGTGAATGCAGCTTAGGCAGCTGTCGGTCTTCTAGCCTTTTGCCCTTTGTAAAGTCACAAAGTAATCACACCCTATGAGTATGTTATGGTTTTGTAATCTGTTCTTTACTGTAATGCATTAGAGTGAAATTTAATCTTCCACCAACTTTACTAAACCAATTTTGTGAGATGTTAAAAATGTCTGTGTGGTCATAGTAAAATTAACTGCAGTTTACCTAAACCTGCAGAATAACCAGTTATAGGCTTCAGAAAACTGAGACTTGAGCCACTCATTAATAAGTCCTGGCAGACTTTGGGAAGAAGGAAGAAGCACAGCAATATGTGATTTAAATATACCCTCCAAACACTAGACTTGGCCAGGACAAATATTAAAGGATAAGTTTATCTTCAGAAGAATGTTACATTTTACACCCATATTTAGTGTGCAACATGTAACATGATTCTATTCACCCACCTTCCGCCACCAGAGTGCTTCTTCCTGTGACAGCAAGTGGGGGTTCCTCTTCCCACACCCGCTGTAACATTTTGAAAATGTCGTAGCCGAGTGCCACTTCACCAGCATAGCCACATCATTCATTCACAGCAAATGGGAATGAATCATGTCTCATCTGCCACTGCGAAAGACAGAATTGTAATTGTAATTTTAATGGGTCATGAGCATGCAAATTGGCACATTAGTAGTCCATTCACACTGCTTACAGCTCTGAAACTGAAATCCCATATAGGAGAATGGGCAACAGAGCTGCAGGCAGTGTGTGCAGGAGCCTGAGATTGCACCCGCAATCCACTGATTATAAATAATAAATGCATATTTTTTTTCTGGAAATATATGTGCAATTTAAAATTTTTTTGTTAACAAGGGTAAACTTAGTTTATAATCCAACCGGCCAGAGATATCAGTATGACCTAAAAAAAATCTTTCAAGTGGAGATCCACTCAAAAGGGGAAGTTCCACTTTAAGGACTGGTCCCCCATTCTCCTCCCCCCTGTAGTCTCCTGGAACATGTGACAGGTCCCAGAAGACTGTGGGACCATTCACAATACGCACCGGCCACCCCCTGCTTTTATTTATTTTTTTAAAGGATACTGGAGCTGCACTTTAACTTTTATGGGCAGGTAATGTTACAAGTAAGCATTGCACTGGATGAAGAAAGCCTCAGATCTGCTGGAAAATTGATGTCATTTTAAACCCTGAAAATATAGCTTAAATATGGTAAGTGGCTCTCTTGTTGTGCTGATCATTCCCCTTTAAAAAATAGCAAAGCAGCTAAGATGGGTGGGTTCAGACGGCCCATATGACTTTGGGTACAGTGGAAGTGTTCAAAAGTTATATATACTGTACCAACTGATAATACCCTCAAACAATTGTTACATCCAATCATTTCAACATAGAGATATATACTGTACAAACTAATAATACCCTCAATCAATTGTTACATCTAATCATTTTAGCATAGAGATATATACTGTACAAACTGATAATACCCTCAATCAATTGTTACATCCAATCATTTCAATATAGAGATATATACTGTACAAACTGATAATACCCTCAATCGTTACATCCAATCATTTCAATATAGAGATATATACTGTACAAACTGATAATACCCTCAATCAATTTTTACATCCAATCATTTCAATATAGAGATATATACTGTACAAACTGATAATACCCTCAATCAATCGTTACATCCAATCATTTCAATATAGAGATATATACTGTACAAAATTATAATACCCTCAATCAATTGTTACATCCAATCATTTCAATATAGAGATATATACTGTACAAAATTATAATACCCTCAATCAATTGTTACATCCAATCATTTCAATATAGAGATATATACTGTACAAACTGATAATACCCTCAATCAATTGTTACATCCAATCATTTCAATATAGAGATATACACTGTACAAAATTATAATACCCTCAATCAATTGTTACATCCAATCATTTCAATATAGAGATATATACTGTACAAACTGATAATACCCTCAATTGTTACATCCAATCATTTCAATATAGAGATATATACTGTACAAACTGATAATACCCTCAATTGTTACATCCAATCATTTCAATATAGAGATATATACTGTACAAACTGATAATACCCTCAATCAATTGTTACATCCAATCATTTCAATATAGAGATATATACTGTACAAACTGATAATACCCTCAATCAATTGTTACATCCAATCATTTCAATATAGAGATATATATACTGTACAAACTGATAATACCCTCAATCAATTGTTACATCCAATCATTTCAATATAGAGATATATACTGTACAAACTGATAATACCCTCAATCAATTGTTACATCCAATCATTTCAATATAGAGATATAAACTGTACAAACTGATAATACCCTCAATCGTTACTTCCAATCATTTCAATATAGAGATATATATACTGTACAAAATTATAATACCCTCAATCAATCAATTGTTACATTCAATCATTTTAACCCTTAATAAATATCTTGCAATGATGAAACTTGGTGGCAGCCCACACATCAGTTGCTTGGTGGCAGATGAGGTCTAGATGATCTCTGACTACAGATAATGTGCATGTATACAAAAACCATAGCTTTTACTCTAATGTATCCTGCTTCAACATGTTGCACAGACTTCAGAACACAAGAACCCTACCCTAAATACAAATTTGGCTATAACGAATGATGTTTTTTTTCAAGCCAACATAGTTAAAAATAATAAAAAAAATAAAATATGATTAACAAAAGATCAATTTGGAGAAATAGGAGTGTGAAGCAAAGGGGAATGGTGTAACAGAATTCCACCAGCAGCATAAGGTCAGAATGTCTGCACTGGTATTTCCCTTATTTTACTATTGTGCAGTCCAATTAACAATTTGATGCCTACTATTCAGATTTGGTTATTCTTCTCAGAATAACATGAATTTGGTATTCCAGTAAGTACATCTGCTCCAGGCCTAGGCATTTGTCAGGATGAACACCTAGCAATTACTCTGCTTAATGTCTTAATTGTTTCCAGACAAGAAAATTGATTGATCAAAGACGCACTGACTATTATAGGTGACAGCTCATGAGAAGACCATTTTATGACAAGAGCAGGCAAAGGTGGGATGAGCAAGTCCTTGTTGCCATCTTTCTTTGTGAGGGTTGAGTTTAATCTGAAGCATCTGCTATGACAACACAACACAACACTGCCAATATAAAAGAATCTTCAATTGTACAAAGTTTATTTTAGGTTTAACTTTTGTTCTTTATTTTCTCCTTTTATTTGTCACTGTTAGACTGTAATCTCTGCAGGTAGTAGTACATAAAAAGGCATAAATAAAACAAATAACCTGTAGATGGAAAGCTGGTTACTTGTGGCCAGTAGAAGAACATGGATTTAAAAGACCTACCAAAGCAGTCAGAGGTGCATACACACACCAGCTGCCCTCAAGGTTCAGCAGTGCCATCCTAACTACAAATATTTGGCTCAACTAAGCATCTGTTTATTCAACTGCAAAAAAGGCTCAAAAATGGCTTGAGAGACAAGTTCAAGATGTTGACTTGGCCTCCAAATTCTCTGGATCTCAATCCAATTGAGTATCCATGGGATGTACTGGAAAGTCTGTATTGAGGCTTCCCCTTGCAACTTATAGTACTTGACCACCTCCCGCCCGCCATATAGTCCAATGACAGGCGCAAAGTGGTTCTCTTGTTCTGGGAGGACGTCATATGACGTCCTCCCATTCTCACCGTGCATGTGCAGCTCAGGGAGCGCGAAGCACGGCGATCGGCGGTGCGCTGTGTCCCTCGGACACAGCCGATCACCGATCTACGGAAAGAGCCGAAGATGTCGGCTCATTCATGTGATCAGTGTGTGTGTCACAATCAGGGAGCTGATCACATGTCACGTAAACAGGGAAAATGCCGGTAATCGGCATTCTGCGGAGGGGAGATGTACACTGATCATCAGGGCACTGATGATCAGTGTGCCTGATGATCAGTGGCCCCAGAACTGCCACCTGTCAGTGTCCATCAGTGCCAGATGCCAGTGCTGAACAGTGCCAGATCAATGCCACATATCAATGCCTACCAGTGCACATCAATGCCACATAGCAGTGCCCATCTGAGCTGCCTTTCAGTGTCACCCATCAGTGCCACCTATCAATGCCAATCAGTGCCATTCAGTGCCGCCTATCAGTGCCATTAAGTGCCACCTATCAGTGTGCATCAGTGCCCGTCAGTGCCTCCTATCAGTGCCGCCTAACAGTGCCAGTCAGTGCCACCTAACAGTGCCAGTCAGTGCCGCCTATCAGTGCCATATATCAGTGATGCCTGTCAATGCCCATCAGTGCCACCTATCAGTGCAGCCTATCAGTGCCCATCACTGCAGCCTCATTAGCACACATCAGTGAAGGAGAAAAATCACTTATTTACAAAATTTTACAACAAAAACTAAGAAAAAACATTTTTTTTTCAAAATTTTCAGCGGTTTTTTTGGTTTGTTTAAGAAAAAATAAAAAACCCAGAGGTGATTAAATACCACCAAAATAAATCTCTATCTGTCACAAAAAAATGCTAAAAATTTCATACGGGTACAGTGTTGCATGAACGCACAATTGTCATTCAAAGTGTGACAGCACTGAGAGCTGAAAATTGGCCTGGGCAGGAAGGGGGTATAAGTGCCCTGTAGGCAAGCGGTTAACCATTAGCCGCCCGGCTAATGGCCGTTTGGCGGCTTCAGAAGTGCTGCGGCATTCGGGTGCACGCCATTTGGCGTGCACCCGCACATGCGCAGTTTGCGGTAATGCAGAGCCTCGCAGCGGCGCGATCTGTCACCCGCCGTGTACCTCGGACACGGCCGATGACAGATCTGAGTACCGGCCCCCAGGACCAATCACAGCAGGTCACATGACAGTTGTATACAATGGATGGCTTCATTCATGCCATCCATTGTATACTACTGCCTAGCTGTGAATGGTCACAGCTAATCACATGCACATGTCATGTGATTAGCTGTGACCAAATCACAGCTAAGCACAAAAAAAAAAAAACCCTGAATGAATCGATTTCATTCAGGTAAATGCTCGCTTATAGCAAAGTAATTCTTTGCTATAAGCAAAGTGTAATAAAAAAAAAAAAAATACTGATCACTTCCCCAAAGTAGTACAATGTTACTATGGTAACATTGTACTACTTTGGTCATAGTACAATATGAAAAAAAAAAATCTTAAAAAAAAATAAAAAAATTTAATAAAAAATAATAATAAAAAAAATATATATATATATATTTTTTTCATACTGTCACCAGTCAGTGTCCCTGATCACTGCCATGCCAGTTATATGATGATGCTGTACTGCACTGGTGACAGTATGTAAAAAAAGAAATAGTGAAAATAATTTTTTTCATTTTTTTATTTTCCGAAAAATTATGACAAAAAAAATACAACTTCAAAAAACTCGCCATTCCTCTTATGAAGTACGTCGGACTGTCTACTCTGCAAAAAGGGGCCATTTGGGGGATATCTGTACTATTCTGACATTCTTGGACTTCACGAAATTAGATTGGCCGTCAGTACTTCAGGATTGATCAATTTTCAGATCTATACCATAGTTTGTGAACTCTATAACTTTCCTACAAACTAAATAATACATCCTAATTTGGGTTATTTTCACCAAAGACATGTAGCAGAATACATCTCGGCCTAAATTTATTTTTTTTTTTTCCAAAAAAACGTTTTATTGAAGTATGAACTAAATTTATGAAGAACAATTATTTATTTGTAAACTTTTATAACAGAAACAAAGAAAAACGTGTTTTTTTTCAAAATTTTTGGTCTTTTTTTGTTAATTTAGCAAAAAATAAAAACCCCAGCGGTGATTAAATACCACCAAAAGAAAGCTCTAGTTGTGTGAAGAAAATGATAAAATTTTAGTTTGGGTACAATGTTGTATGACCGCGCAATTGTCATTCAAAGTGTGAGAGCGCTGAAATGTGAAAAATGGCCTGGGCAGGAAGGTGTAAAATTGCACGGTATTGAAACGGTTAAAGGAACTGCTGCTGATGGCTTGGTGCCAGATATCACAGAATACCTTTAGCGGTCTAGTGGCATCCACGCCTCAACAGGTCTTGGCTGTTTTGGCAGAAGAAAGGGGACCTACTCAATATTAAATGTGTGGTCATAAAGTTATGGCTGATGACTGTATACATACTATGTACACTATATTGCCAAAAGTATTGGTACGCCTGCCTTTACATGCACATGAACTTTAATGGAATCCCAGTCTTAGTCCGTACGGTTCAATATTGAGTTGGCCTCACCCGTTGCAGCTATAACAGCTTCAACTCTTCTGGGAAGGCTGTCCACAAGGTTTAGGAATGTGTCTATGGGAATGTTTGACCATTCTTCCAGAAGCGCATTTGATAGGTCAGGCACTGATGTCGGACAAGAAGGCCTGGCTCGCAGTCTCTGCTCTAATTGATCCCAAAGGTGTTCTATCCAGCTGAGATCAGTACTCTGTACAGGTCAGTCAAGTTCCTCCACCCCTAATTCCCTCATCCATGTCTTTATAGACCTTGCTCTGTACACTGCTGCGCAGTCATGTTGGAACATTAAGGGGCCATCCCTAAACTGTTCCCACAAAGTTGGGAGAATTAAATTGTCCAAAATGTCTTGGCATGCTGATGCCTTAGGAGTTCCCTTCACTGGAACTAAGGGGCCAAGCCCAACTTCTGAAAAACAACCAGACACCATAATCAACCCTCCACTAAACTTTACACTTGGGTACAGTGCGGTTAGGCAAGTACCATTATCCTGGCAAATGCCAAACCCAAACACTTCCATTGGACTGCCAGACAGAGAAGCGTGATTCATTATTCTAGAGAACACATCTCCACTGCTCTAACTCACTGTTATTTTGCTAATCTGAAGGACACAAAACGTTTTGAGGTCTTTAGCTATTGACTCTGCAGACAGTCAGAGACTTCTGTGCACAATGCGCTTCAGCATGCGCTTACCCTGGCATGCGCTAATCTGGCATTTTACTTGGCCTACCACTTCGTGGCTGAGTTGCTCTTGTTCCCTGTTGCTTCCACTTTGTTATAATACCACTAACAGTTGACCGAAAAATTTTTAGCAGCAAGGAAATTTCACGGATGGACTTATTGCACAGGTGGCAACCTATCACGGTACCACAATTGAATTCACTGAACTCCTGAGAGTGATCCATTCTTTCACAAATGTTTGTAGAAGCAGTCTGCATGCATAGGTGCTTGATTGTATACACCTGTGTCCATGGAGGTGATTGGAACACCTGAATCCAATGATTTTTTCAGGGGTGTCCCAAAACGTTTGGCAATATAATGTATATTATAGGCATGCCTGGAATTCTTTAATTTACCTTTAATATATTGCAAAGATGAGCATACAGCTTTAGTTGAAAATGGATCTGGATCCAGGATTGTAGTTTCCTCCCCAAAACCCCTTGACCTTGTAGGATAAACATCTATGTTACCTTTCATCTCTTACTGCATTCATTCCTAAATGAAAGTACAAGTCTTTTGTTTATCTTACACTGAAGGCTGTAAACTTTTAACAAGCTATTTAATTATTGTTCTTTCTCTCATTGTCTAACATCATACCTGGTTAACCTGCAAATAATAGTAGTTACAAGCAGCCTTCTGCCTATGGGTAACAATGCTATAGGCTATTAAATAATCAATCTGTAAATCAATGACAAACAACACCTTTGGGCTGCTTGCAACTACTATATAGTGTAATAGCTCCTTCCTCCAGTGGCTCAGCATCTTAGCCATGGAGGAAGAGGCTGGAAATTTCCATACCCAGCAGCGTTGATGACACCCTTGCCCTCCTGTCTACTAAATGACTGTGTTTTCAGGAGACACTGGAAACAGATCTGCTTTTCCTCACCCTAAGCCATGAGCGCAGATGGCGACAGACACAGTGATGCCGTGACCATTTGTAAACCCTTTTAATAGGTTTTGTTCATGTCAAACAAGTTTTGAATTCATGTATAAGTGTAAGTGTATTTGAATGTAGCATATCATATTTATGTTAAACTCAAACCCAAATACCATCCACACAGGTACTTTATATGTACTGTACTTCAGGGCCAGTTTATAAAGAAATCAATGCCAATATGGAAGGTGCTGCTTCCGCCCTACATGGACATTTTTAACAGTGGCCTGCTTTAGTAGCAAAGGTATAGTAAGAAATGGTCTCTACTTCCTGACGTTTTCCAATACCTCATAGCCAAAGGTGATCCATCATACCATTAGCCCCTGGCCCTAACAAAGAGTCTAGACATAATACGGGATACTGTTTGCATTCCAATAGCTTAAACTTACAAATTATAAATTAATTTAAAAAAATCAGAAACAAGAATTTCTTGATAGTCTAGAAAATAAAGAACCTTGAAAAATTGATAGAACCAATGAAAGTATCTTATTATTAGAAAGCAGGTCAAGTTTTATCAGGATAGCAGAAGATTCATTAATGAAATCTAGGCAATGTGTTGGAGCAGTGTAAATATTGGAATTTGCTGTATTTTTATTTATTCTTAATACAGGATATCTCATCTAGATCAAATGGGATCTTCTATTCATAAAGCAATACAGACATTTATACAACCCTATTGTAATGATCCATTTTTATGGACTAATGGTAGCCCAGGGCATATGCCCCTTTGTCTTGTTATTAAAACTGCTATTCTAGTAAATACAAAGGCAGTGATTTAAAACACATTCAGAATCAAAGCAGAAGTGAAACAAGAGAGGAATACAACACCACCTTTAAAACCTCCATGTCCATAGTGTGAAGCTGCAATAGAAGCTGCCTGTGCAATTCAAAAAGAAAGAACAAATGGAGCTTTAAATTATATTTCTGTGGCTTTAGCAAGCTCTTTGAAATGGAAAATGCAAGCTAATTGGAATGGGGTTGTGGTTTTAATCACACATTATTTACATTCTCCTAGCAGCTCTTAATTTTCCTTATACCAGTCTGCTAAGGCATGTCTGGCACAGTGGTGGCAAAGCCATAACAAAGACTTTCATCAATGCCAGCACAGAAATAGAGCAGCAGCGGAATTATTTTTTTGATGTACACATTCCCTACTCCTTACTAATTCCCTCAGCATCTGACTTCAAATGAACTCTGGGGTTCCACTATTGGTGTTAGGACCGACTACAGTCAAGGCTGAACTTTGAAAACCGCTCCAAATTCTTACCTAGTGGGGAACTCTGAGCAGGCGATCTGCGTGATGGCTTTAAAAAGATTTAATGCTGTAAATGTACACAGCAGCCTTTTAAAGTCATTGCAGCACAATAATCCAGGCCACATGAATCTGACATTCTGGAAGTGGTTCAAAATATTTTCTGCTTTAACAATCCTTAAAGGCCCTTTAAATCATTATCAGTTTAAGTAAATCCAAAATGTTTAGTGTTAATTTTGAGGAGGTAATGTGATTTCCCTTGCCTTGCTATAGGTTATTGTGGGTTTCCAGCTGTGCTTTTTAATCTACATTTGAAGGATAAGATCTGTAATCAAAGAATACCAATGTATGTTACATAATCATCATATAATAACCAAGACTTCAATAAATGGACTGGGTAAAGGTTACCAGAGATTGTTACAAAAACAAAAAGCACTACATGTGGTGGAAGCAATACAATTAGAAAAGCTTCTTTATTGAGACTAGCTAAAACAGTTACATACTGTCTCAGGAAACCTTTGTTGGAACAATACAATCATTTTAGCTAGAGACACTTTTACATTATAATGAAATAATAAAATCACTCTAGGTACTGGCAGATGTACCAACTCTCAGCAGTATCCAGGCACCTTTGAGTTCAGAGGTCTGACACCATGCAGCGTCTATCAGCTGATATCTTACTAACAAGTGAATCAAACCTCAAGTTTGATGTTTTTGCAGTGATGGGGTAAATGGAGAGTAAAGGTATTAATGTGAAGGCTTGGAGATCCATATCAATGGCTGATACTCATGGTTACAATGGCTAATGGATCTATACATTACCCAATGCTCTGATTTCATTGACTATTACACTGAATTTCTACAGAGGTCAAAAGGGAAGATGAGGTAAGCAGGAGATCCTTGTAGCCAACACAGGCCGTGTCTGGATATTCTTCCAACATTATCTGTAATTTACATTACAAATTGTATTTGTCCATCTGTGCAAGTGCAGGTGACCCAGACTAGACCTCAGAAATCACGCTACAGGCTTTAATGAACTGCAGGGCAAAAATCAGATGTTGCAGTGCTTCCAGCAATCTAGGGGGCAATAAAGCCAAGAGCAAAACTATAACAACCCATTTATTAGTAAACATTTATAATCTTTCTAAAAATTCAACACTGCAGAAACCTAAAATCTGATTGGTTACCCTGGGTTACTGTGCATAATAACTCTCAGAGCTCTTACAGGAGCAGGAGACAATGATTGTGGCTATCCATCTCAGTATCAGATTCTTATGTATATAAACTCAGTGAAAATATACGAAAATACACAATTTTTCAGATACAAAGGAATACAATGATTTGAAGGACAACTCCGTTATCAAGTGTGGGATCACACTGAAGATGTTTTGCTCCTTCATCTTTGCTCCTTTCTAAGTAGCCTCCCTGGTAGTATTCCCGAGTGTAGCTCGGGGTAAAGTTTCAGTACCACAAGCGGTAACCCCGAGCTACACTCGGGCTTACCATGCGGCGCTGCACTGGGATCCCTCGATCACTTACCTTGTCCTGCGCTCCAGCGATGTCCCTCCTGCAGTGTCCCCGGCAATGTAATCCGGCGGATGCTGTCATCTGGGTTCCGTCCCCTGTGAGCGTTGAGACGTACGGGGGACAGAACAGCGGGAAATGCAAAAATGACAAAATGTGACATTCACTAAAATCACATAGTAAAACATTACTGTATCAAAGCATTTCATATACATTTTGTCCCCTAGTGCTTTGTCCTGTGCCCTGCCTGCATTTTTACCATTCTTTCTGCCTGGAAACTGAGAAACGTCCATGGTGTCCAAAAAGCATCCCTTTAGGTCAAAAGCGGTTTTAGACCAGCTAGAGAACAGCGATAGTAAATCAGAACCACTTGCAGAATTGAGTGATAATTATTCGTGGGGAAATTCGTCATCAGACACTGAAAACGATTTTGCGACTTTGCTCAGTGATGTGCGAACTTGGCGCTATATTTCAAATTTCAGTGTTTTTGGTTTGGTTATATTATTGAATTAAATTTAATATTATATTATTTTTATGATTCTTTATTAAATTATAAATTATGATTTCGTGTTTCAAGTTTTATCCTACCCGGGATGTTTACTAGACTCTTGTTCGGACAGATTTCAGTAAGTTATTCCTAAAAATTACAGGCCTACAATAAAAAATACATATTTCCATGCAAAAAAATGTACAGCTTTGAGCACAGAAATATGGACATAATCAGACCGCTAGGGAGGTTAATAAATGGGTATAACATAGCAGAAAAAGGTGTAATGTAAGTAAATACGAATGAGATGTGATATATCTAGACAGTCTTAAGATCTACAAGGTCATAATAAATAATGGTTCTTTCATTCTTCCTCCATTGCGTATCCTTCTTTCTGTTATCTTTATACCTGACCTTTATAGATATCATCAATATATCATCACATGGTACATAAATCTATAATCAGGATTAAACAATTCAGCAGCCTTTCTTTTACTGATAAAGCTACTTTGATCTCATATGATACAGGTAAATATCTTAGTATATATAGATTTGATAAATTGGAAAATGCAAGAATATTAAAATTGTGTAAATTCACTCTGCTTTATATATACTGGAATTTAAAATGATGTGAGCTGCAGTAAATTACTACTGAATTAACATTTACCACACATATCGGCAACCCAGTTGTTTTCATCCATTAAACATTTGCGTCTTCTATAACTGAGCCAAGAGAGCAAAACTGATGCCAAGCTGAAAAGAGACAGGATGTGCACAGATGAGGCAATCTGATCTGCCTTGAGCCCTATGAGTTAGGTTACACCACTGAGTTGCAGTGATGTGTGCTGAAAAAAGGAGGACAATGCAGCTGATTGCGATGCACTACAATTCAATTGGAAAAAAGAAAAAAGTAAACAATGGCAGCACCCATGATTATGGTCTTTGAAAAAATAACTTTTTTCATTTTTATTTTCTCCTAAATAATTCCAGATAAATAATCTCAGAAATATGTACAGTAGGC